TTTTTTTAATGAATGGAGCAACTGGAGAAGCAATAAATAAATAAATAAATAATAAAAAAAACCCAACAAAACCAACAGCAACAAAACAAACCCCACACAACAACCCCCCTCTCTTATATTCACTATGAATTAGTGTAATATTTACAGCAATGAATGGGCATTCCAGATTGTGATCTATCAGCTGTTCTTCGAATTCCATTTTAGTGTAGTATAGTATAGGACACAATATGCCTCATAGACCTTCTGGATGGGTTCCCTTCATCTGAAAATATGATGCTCCTGTAGAGCATGGGGAAAGGTTGTGACTGTAAGCCACTCCCTGTGGAGGCTCTGAGGAGAGACGACATACTGGAGGCAGCTCCCAGGACCATGCCTGTGGCAGGCTTCTGGGAGCACTGGAATTGTGCACTTAGCAGTGCCCATTACAAGAGGCAATGAGAATTCATGCTGGAGCCTGGGTTTGCTTGCATATGTGGAGGGAGGAGGAGCCAGGTCCTCAGAGACCCTTCCATTTTGGACATCACTAGCCTTGCTGTCAGTCCTAGATTCCATTGGTCCTTGGGTGTGGGAGTCTGAGAAGTCTGTGTTCGACCCTGTGTATTAGCTCAAAGAGCAGGAGGCCTCCTTATACGTTCCTACCACTTGCACTCCTGTGCACGGCCATAATATAATCTTGTATGTTGACTATTAGGTCTGAAAAAAATAAATAATACCAAACCGGACTGTAGAGGTGGATATTCTGGTTGCTAGGTTGATTCATAGGTTGATAGACTGATTATAATTTTGAATAAAAAGGCAATGTAAAAACACCCAAACAAACAAGCCTCAAGTCAACCAATATATTGTGTTATAGTTTGTTGTAGATTGCAGGAGACTGTCAAGCTTGCCACATGTAAGTTTCACTATTGGACACAGAGACTACACGTTAACAGCAAAAGACTATATAATAAAGGTATGTATATAAATTCTAAGAAATGGTATCTACCAAATTATAAAATGATAATATGTAATTCTACATAGAAATGTGCTTTTAATTTCAGGAAACCATAGAAGAAAAAACCGTGTGCATCAGTGGCTTTCAGTCTCTGGATATTGCCACTCATTCTGGCCAGCTATGGATTTTAGGAGATGTATTCATGTCAGCGTTTTACTGTATTTTTGACCGTGGAAATGATAGAGTGGGATTTGCAAAAACCTCTCGTAGAAGGGAGCATTCCTGAGGCCCTAATGGCGTCAGTTCTGCCTTAAACACATGTTATTACAGGGATATGAGATGAGCCTGAACTAAAACCCTGGATCTGGCTATTGCTCCCAAAAAATTTCACATGGGTTTAGGGTGGGTTTGAAATTGAATTCTGAATGCAAAGTTTGTAGCTAGGTTCCATTTCTATACATTTGCAACAGACACATTTATTTCTAAATCAGTGATTGAGAGACCAAAAGCCCTAGGAAGGACTGTGTCAAAAAACCTTAAATGCCTGTACAACAACTTGCCTGTAGGACTTGCATTGGGGTGGGAGGGAAAGTGTGCTTGGGAGAAGTCTGCTAAATAATGCAAAGATGATTGTGTATCAGTTGCAGTTATGGGAATCTAATCTGGCTAGTGTTGGATATTTCTCTTCCCTTGCTTGTCAGTTTCAGCCTTCTATTTCCTGACTAAATATTTTCTTTTTATCATTTAATTGTTGCTTTTATTTTTCTCATTATTTGCTGGGGTTTGTTCCACCCTTGCTCCCTCTGTTACTTGTGGCACCTTAGAGACTAACAAATTTATTTGAGCATAAGCTTTCGTGGGCTACAGCCCACTTCTTCGGATGCATAGAATGGAACATATATTGAGGAGATATATATACACATACAAAGAGCATGAAAAGGTGGGAGTTGTCTTACCAACTCTGAGAGGCCAATTTTTTTTTCTCTTACTTAATTGGCCTCTCAGAGTTGGTAAGACAACTCCCACCTTTT